CTCCTACTGCACCACCAGAGCGCCTTAAAACAGGCATTGTAAATCCTAATCATAGAGACTAGCATTAACAATACATCACAAAATGGAGGACAATGGCTAGAAGGGCACCACCAAGCAATTCACAGCACTGCACTGCTTTAGATTAAAGAGCCTGAAGAGACATAGCAACTAAATTCAACATGTAATCCTTGATTGGATCTGTATACATATATGTGTGTATGCATGCATGCATGTGCATATACTATAAAGGATATCACTGGGATACTTGGGGATATAATAGACCTATGTTGTCCATTACTGTAGCCACTTGCCATTTGTGGGTATTGAAATGCTACTAGTCTGAATTAAGCTGTGCTTTAAATGTCAAATACACACTGGATTTCAAAGACTTAGTATGGAAAAAAGAATGCAAATTATCTCTAATTTTTATACTGATCACCTGTTGAAATTTGTCTATATTAGGTTAAATAAAAGATATTATTAACATTAACTTCTCCTATTCTTCTTACTTTTTAAAATGTTGTTCTGGTTACTTACTACCACTCTGACAGGAATACATCACAAATGGGATGGCCTTAACAAACAGGAGTTTATTCTTTCAATTTGGAGGCTTTAAGTCCAAGTTCAAAGTGCCAAGCTCTAGGGGCTGGGTGAAAGCCCCTCAGCCTCGGGCTTCAGCTCTGCCTCCTGTTCCTGGCCCACTGGAGCTAGAGGCTTTTCTTCACTCAGACAGCTGTTGGCTGCTGTGGCTGCCAAGCCCAAGGTTGACAAGTAAAAAGGCACAGTCCCAATGTTACCAAACCACACAGCAGGCCATTAATTTAAGTTCATTGTAAGTCCCCAGGTTGGCAGAGCATGGCAAGCTGCTAAATGACGACACAGCTACATGCAGAGTCCAAGCGTGCCATAAGCTAGTGACCATTTCCAATGCTGTTTCTTATATACGAGAAGCAGACCACATACCCAATGGCAGCTACTCAGCTGCTCTCAATAGATTCCACCATGGAGTTGATTGCCAGTCTCATCCTGGGGAATAACTACTTCCAGCCCAGCCACTCAACCAGGCCCAGACAAGCTGACAAATGTAACCACCACAAATGTGGTTACTAGAAAATCTAGAACACCTAGCATAGTCCTTCTTCTGAGCCTTTGTACTTGTTCCCTCTGCCTGAATGCTGTTCCCACAGATACCCATATGGCTCATCCCCTTAGTTCTACCAGTTAGTCTTCAAGTGTAATTTTTTCACTGAGGCCTTCCCTGACCTCTCTCTTTAAACATGTGATCCTTGCTAGTACCACCCTTCCTAACCTTGTGTAATCGTTATTCCACTTCTCTGCCTTATTGTCCCCCAAACACCCAATGTACCTCCTCCAACAAACTAAAACCAAACACACTGCCGTCGAGTTGGACCTGACGCATAGCAAACTCTCTTCAGGTTTCTGAGGTGGTATCACTATGGAAGTAGATTGCCCAACCTTCCTTCCGAGGAGTGCCTGGTGGGTTTGAACCATCAGCCTTCTGGTTAGCAGTCAAATACCTTAGGCACTACGCCTCCAGAGCTCCCATGACCTCCTCCACACATATAAAATCTCCTTTCAGGATATAAGCTTAGTGAAAGCAGGGAATTGTTTTTTAAAAAACCCTTGTGTTTTTTTCACTGCTGAATGTCCAGTGGTAAGAAGAGTCCCTATCACACACTTTGTTCATAATAAATACACAGTAAATAATTGTTGAATAAATGAAAGTTAGCAAATGGAAATTTAGCATAAAGTGCACTTACTCAAAATCAAAAAAGGTAATACTTGTTTAGTAAGCACTTTCAGCTTCAGGATAATGTCAGTAATGAAAAGTGTTTTTCTTTTTGAGTAGTTTTGTTTTTCTGATACAATAAAAAGTACTGGTGTTTTAAAGGAGCTCTGGCAGTGTAGTGGTTAAGGCATTTGGCTGTTAACCAGAAGGTTGGTGGTTCAAACCCACCAGCTGCTCCATGGAAAAAAGATGGGGCAGTCTGCTTCCATAAAGATTTATGGTCTTGGAAACCCAACGGGGGTTGCTATGGGTTGGAATTGACTTGATGGCAGTGAGGTTTTTTTTTCCCCCCTGGTGTTATCTGTTTACAATTTTGCAAAATAACTAAGGCCAAGGCAGTTGTGTTAAACAATACAGCAACAAATCTTATAATGGAAATTGTTTTTATTGCTGATTCAGTAAAAGCAATCACTGGTATTTAATGAGTCAACTCAGTAAATACTTACTTTTAGTTTTAAATGGTAGAGGCCCATGTGTGATGATATTGGTAGAATTTGACTGGGAGCTCACACAAAAATGAATGAGGGCTCTCTTTTGCCCTCAAGGAATTTACAGTCTGCTCACAGATATCACAACTCCAAAATACAGCTTTTATTTCCCCATTCAGCTGTACAACACATTTGAGAAATAAATATTATTATCCCTATTTATATTGCTGTTGTTGTTATGTGCCGTCGAGTCAGACCCAATTTATAGCAACCCCTCCTTGGGTTTCCGAGGCAGTATGACTATAGAAGTAGATTGCCCCATCTTCCTTCCAAGGAAGGAGACTGAGGGGTTTGAACCACCAGCCTTCTGGTTAGTAGTCAAGTGCCTTAGGCACTATGCTACCAGAGCTCCTTATCCCTATTTATAGATAAAGAAATTTCAAGATAAGAATAAACTCAAATCCAGAATGAGGGGTATAAATACCAATTTAAGAAAGGCATGTGAAATAATACAGCAGAGTCTGTAGTACGTGAGACTAGTAATTCAAAAATAAGTTTTATTTCAACTTACATGATTGAAAGAGTGATGAATACAAATGCCACAAAACTAAAAGCGCTCCCCCACCCCAACCAAAAATGCAGAAATGAATACAAAAGATACGGAATTTATCTCTCATGCAATATTCAAAATATTAAAAAAAAAAAAAACCAACCAACCAAAAAATCCTGTAACATCTGTGATACCACGTTCTATAAAACAAACTATGTCAACAATGTAACAGTGCTATAGACTGTACAATGTACCTTTAAAATGAAGGCTATAAGCATATATATAATATTTATAAATTTACAGATATGTACATTATAACTTCACAGTGGAAACATACATTTGCCTGACAAACAAGTTTCACTTTGAAATGACATAAAAGTCCTTTTGAGAAGTCTTGCTAAAATGTAAGTATTTAAAATGACATCTAAATGATACTTTTTACAAACACGTCCATAGTACAGTTGATACTCCACAGTTTTAATTACAATCACATATATTATTTTGATACCTTGGCATACCCCACCTTATATACTCTTAAGAGGAACAAAAGCTATTTAACAAGAGTTACTGAATGGTCGTATACTTTATTTA